GGAAATTTCATCATTACTCTATTTTTTATTTGGAAGATGTTGCTTGGCACTTTTTTTTTCTCTTATGCTGCTTTCATTGCTTTATTGTGAAGTACAAGATGAGCAATTGCTGTTGAAAGTTCTGCAGAGATGCAACATTTTTCTTTCTGCTCAGCAGTCCAGAATCCATGCAAAGAAAAGCCTTCTGGCCCTGAAGCAGTATCTGCTGTTCTACTAAAGTGATTCCATTCCCAGACAGCTTGATAGGAAAACATAAATTTCAAATCATTTATTTTGTTCAATAAAGTATCTTCAGTCACAAAGTGTGAAGCACCTAAACCTAGAGTTTCAGTGGCTCTGATCCTGACTGGACTGCCTATGTCAGCCCCTTCCTTGAAATCAGCATGAAAACATCGCAAACCTTGGCCCAGAGCAGGAATCCAGAGGGATGTCCTTCCCAAGGCCACCAGCTGTCCCAGCCACTGCTGTTAGGGCAGCATTCTTGGCTTCCACACCCAAAGGCTGCTGCAATGGCAGAGCCAAGCACCAAAGCGGGGCCGGGGTGAGAGCTTACTCCAGCTGCTTCTCGCTTTGCGCCTGCTGCACCATCACAGCTCACGGGCACAGAAACACACATTATTTGTAAAACAAGGAGCAGCAGAAGACTCCATCCAAACTCACACCATAATCTCCATCTGATGGAAGCCCTCGACCTTTGTGGCCAAGCCTTTCCCATTTGGCTGGCATGCTGTGTTCCTGCAGATAGGTAGGCGTGTTGTCCTAGAGCCATACAAAATGCAGCCAGGTCTCTGCAGACAGCCTGGCTTTTCCTCTGGGATGGAGAGCTGAATGATGCTTGCACTGGGATTTACACAGCCACCAGTAAGATCTGGACCCTTACCTCTAATTAAGTTGAATAAGAATTAGTGCTGATGGCACTGTAATTTTTCATTCACTTCTCTCTTCCTCTGCCAAAGCTGTCCAGCATTCTTAGGTATATTAGGAGGTTTGGTTATTTTACTGTTATAATTAGAAACATGCACTCTACCAATTTATTTCTTTTCTTTTCTGGTAACATTTTCACTCTTTCACCTCATAGACACTTTCAAATTTTTTGGTTTTTATTTTTAATATTTTTTACTGTTCAGCCTAGTAATGCTTACAAGTCAAAAACAACAGCCCACAGTCTTATGTGCTTCTGATACAGAAATAATTTCTTTTCTTTTCTTTTTTAAAGAACCATACACGTTCTGTCAGGATTACAGGCACAGCCAAGCTACACATATAACATTTAATTTAAATTTTATAAAACTACATATCGAGCAAGTGGCAGACAGAAATTGTAAAAGAAAAAATTAATATAATAAATTGAGAACTTCTTTCATTGCCAGTCTGCTTTTTACACCTTCTTTCAGAGGCCATAAATTTCTGCAGGTAAAGATCAATGCCTTGCAAAATTCAGATAGAAAGGCATCAGCTCCACGGAAAAGACCTGCTGTCACACAGGCTTCCAGTGGTTCAGTGCACACTATCTATCTTTCACTCCGGTAATCCACGCAGTATTGCACTTCCGAGTTCTAAAACCTCCAGGACTCTGAAAGTGCAAAAGCAAGCTGTATGTAGGCTGTATATTAAGGCAAAGCACCGCCAACAGTTCCAACTTCATAATACTTTCAGCCTACTGAACCACATGTTAATATGCTACACGTGCCACTCTGCATATTTTTGCCATATTTTTACCATGTACACTAAGGAGCTATATATTTCCTCCTCTTTCCAGTGCAATATATTTTAATATAAAATCAGTGTGTGTTTTTGGTGGGCAACATAAGAGTTTTACCTACTCGGCTGTGAGTCTAAGAAGAAAGCAGTATTGATTTAGAAGTTCTCTCATTCATTTACTAGGACAGTTTTAAAGCATTAGGTGATAACCTAATTGAGAGGCATACTGTGAGGGAAACTGAGACTGCTGTGATAAATCAGTTCTGGGATGTCATCTACAATATCTTAATACTTGATAAAATGTTCTCCCAAAAAAAAATTAAACCAGGAAGCAAGCATCTTGGGTGGCAGAGTGTGGCTTTCCATAAATGCCAGGCGATACAAGGTGATTAAAATACATATTGCTTATTATAGAAACATTACCTTAATGTCACACACATTCTATATTTGTGAGTTGATCTGCTTGTATCTCAGACAATGTATATATTTATGACACTGGCTTCCATTTCCCACTGTAAACCAATTATGAACTAATCAAGGGTGTGAATCTTTTGCCATCTATCAGCTTTCTTTAAAAAACCTGGCATCACACAGCATCCCTACAGATAATATTTATTCACATGCGTTTTACAGAGGCAAATTAAGTCACATGAGTCACCAAACAGTGTTATGACTGCTGCATGCCAAACTGTGCCTGCATTACTCAGGTACATACTGCCATGAGGCCAGAAGGGTCTGGTCTCACATCTGGGTCTCACATTTAGAGAAGCCTGTCCCACGTTCTCTCACATAGGCCTCCCAAAAGTGCTGATAGTCCCATGGATTTGGGCACCTAGTAAATCAGGCCCAAAGTCCCCTGGACTTCTCCAGTTACTTCAGTCACTAGCTACAAGCATCTTAGATGACTGTCTGGTGTTGGACACATCCATTCTTCTTGGGGTGGGGCCAGCCAAAGAGAGCATAAGCAATGATGAATGCACCAGCAGTAATAGCATTATCAGAATCCAGGGGAATCTGAAATTCTTTCCTAATGCAGGACACAGTCTGATAAGGTACTAAGTAAGTACCCTCACTTTTAACTTTTAACTTTTAACTAAGTCACCAGAGTATGTGAAGTATCATGCTTTAAGCATGAGGAAAAGTGAAACAGTTAACAATAAGAACAAACATCCCTGCAAAATAGATGATTCTGATTTAAAATCCATGAATTTGCATGCAAGAAATAATTTTGCTCTGAATATTTCCTACATTTTTTCTACTTTGTATTCAGGCAGAGTACTGTTAATAGATTCATATTCCTCAAAGCAGTGGCTAAATGAAGAGACTTTTTACATTGCATGTGTGCTCATACAGAAAGAAAATATTAAATTAGAATATTGAAATAGAAGATATTTTAAAAAGCCCAAACCTGCATTTGAAAATAGGAAAAGTCCTGGAACTCTGAATTATACCCCTTAAGAGTTAACGTGTGAAGATTTTTTTCTACCCTTGGAAGAGTGGCAGAAGTAAAGGCTCTGCTTGTTCGCTACACCACATTTTGGAACTGATAGCAATTTCTTCATACATTAAAATGCCTTCATACATTAGATTTAGGGACAAAACCTGCTTACCCAGATTAAAAGGTAATTTGTATTAATAGACAGTTTCAGTTATTAAAGCACAGAATTCTCACCATATGCACCAATAATTTAATCTTGTTCTTAAGTAGCCTCACACTACCAGTAAAAAAGAGCCAGGGGGTGAGGGGAGAGAGTAAACTACAGAACCTTTAGTCCCCAAAACAGATGCCAGTTTTGGATTTATTCAGCCAAGGAGTATTTAGCTTGGCTCAGCTACACTTGCATTGAAAAAACACTTGCCTATTCCAAAAAGTTTTTAACGAGCTCTGCTGCAGATGCTGTTGCCATTTGGCATGTCACCGTCACTGTGTGGTACAGCAGAGAGAACTCTCAACCACAGGTTTTCCTTGGCTGGGGGAGCCAACATTTTTGGCTATCGTTCTTCTTCTGGCCAAATGGCTGCATGTTTACAGAATGTGGTTTTAGAAAGAGTGTTAACAGAGGTTGGGTTAACAGCCTAACCCAGACCAGCAGTGAGGCAAAGGCATGACCTACCCAACCTAAGAAAACAGAAGTAGAATAAACTCGTATATGTTGTTGCTCTTAACCTAGAGTCTCCTGTATGCACCATACCTATAGACAAACAGATATTTTTCTTTGCCTTAGGATGGATGACAACAACTTTAAAAGCTGCACCAGTCATACAAAGTAGAAATATATAAAAATATGTGGTTGCTTAATCTTTGTCAGCTTGATTTCATTCTCTCACTTATGACAATTTTACCTTGGCAAAGTGCCACTGAAAAAAGTTCAATGAAGTTACTCCTGGTTTTCACTATGATGAGATATCTTGAGAGGATAAAAACCTTACAGAGTTAAAACTAAAAGCTTCTGTCTTCATATTTCCATTAGACAGCAGCAAATGGCAGCTCTGAACCTTAAAAAGCCAAAGAGTTTCTACACTGATAACTTGATTCCAAGGATATTAGTCCCAAATACCTCCACAAGAGTGCATATGAAGCTGGGAAAAACTTAAAAATATTCACCTGTAGTTTAGTTTACCTACATTAATCCTATATCATTACATATGCATGAGAAGCCTTGACCTTTTAAGATGTAGAACAACTTTAAGAAACAATTTCATTTTTTTGTTACGACATTTGACTCGTATGAATAAATTACATTTGTCAGTATTCTGACAGTTCTTTTTGATGGGAACACCTTTGTTACATTCCAGAAAAAAAAAATAACCCAGAGATGATAGATAGATAGATAGATAGATAGACAGATATTATTTGGTATGCTTCTCTGACACACCGTGCTCCTATCTGGAAAAAACAAGGACTATGTACACTCCCTCTGCAGCACACCCTTTATACTGCACTCTTTATTAACTGACAATTTTCTTTAGATGAAGTTGTGGAGCACAGACACCATTAGAGAAACAACCAGACCATTTGCTTAAATTCTACCGACCTGCACCAAAAACCCCATTTAGCACAGTGTGGAGCAAATAGTTTACCCTTCAATTCCCTCTCACTAAGAGATCAGTTAGGACTAAGAACAACTTGAAAGTTCATAGACACAAAGGCAATTTACTGCAGCATATTAAAAAAGAGCATAACGTATGACTAAGGATGAAGTAAGCGGTGTCTGGCTACATCCCCCCCACTGTCTGGGTAACTGGTATGCAACAGCAAAATGAGAAAATACAGTAATTTTTAAAAATTCTCTTTTTACCATTTTGGCTTCTGAATGCATTGGGGGAACTTGAGGTGAAGCACATGGATTATTGAGGTTCGGCCCTTGCATCCCCATGATGTTGGAGTTCATTGACATTTGTCGCTCCATCTTTTAAAAGAAATTAAAAAAAAAAAAGCTTTGAAAACATCTGAAACATCTGGAGACATTTGCAAGAATTTACTCTCAGTTTCTATTTAAATGGACTCAGCTTTATTTCTTCAAGTCATGACTGAGAAAATAACAATCTGTGTCATGAATTGCATATATGTATGCACGTAGGCGTGTGTTTCATCAGAATCGGCCCTGAAAACTCACAGCCAATTATAAAGAAAGGGTTTCTTTAATAAACAAATGTAGCAGCCACCCAGGTTTGCGCTTTTTTGTAATGATTTTCTCCCATTCAGTATAACAACACTCAGAGTTAAGTGGTTTTAAAAGCGTCACTGTATAAAATTGTAGCTTCCCCTCCCAGCGCAACCCAACTTAGGTTTTTAAAAGCATAAATAAAAATCTTCAATCTCAAGCATATGTAAAACAAGTTGGCTATTTTTCCTTCACTTGGACTGCTCAGCTGGGAAGAGTTTTCCACATGTAAGGGAAGCTTTCATGTACTGCTGAGATAACAAAAAACAAAGCAAAACTTCTCCTGGCTGTTCAGAGCCCTTTCTACAAGCTAGTCTCACTAGGCTGGGAGAGAGTGATACTAACAAAACCTGATGGCAGTAAATCCTCTATAAAATAATTTCCTGGAGGGTATTATACAAAAAAAGACAAGCCCTGCACATTGCTAGGCCTTGTAAGGGGTGGTAAAACAGGGTTATGGTGCTGCTTCCAGACAGAGCTGAGCATCCCACCTTGCTTTGAGCCAGTCTGCTGAATTTTTGGCTCTTACAAAAAAGACACTTTTGGGTTCTTCTGAGCAATCCAAGCAGGGGAGCTATTTTTTTGTGTCCCGTGATGAAGCATTGTCTCCCACCCTCCATGATGCCTGCAATAACGGGTGCTGGGCTTTGGGGAAATGTGAATACCCCACTGTCTCCTGGCAGAGAAAAGCTGCCAAGGCCCCCTTTCCCTTTCTCCATGGGGTAGGAGCAGCTCCCAGTGCCATCCCCCCTGCAGCCCTTTCAGGAGTGCTGTGGGGCAGGAGGAGCAGCCAGTGCTGACAGGGTCTGTCTCGCCTCCACGCTCATCCCTCCAGGGTTCGCAGCCAGAGCACACCTGCTCGTCTGCAAGTAAAGCTGCCCAAAGGGCTCCCCAGCAGCAGACTGAAGCCACTGAACTCACACTGTTGCTGGATGTTTGTTGCATTTTGGGTTCTTGGGAATCATGCCAGAAAAAAACTTCCCACAATGACACATCTTATGGGTTTTTTTTTTGTTAAACTTCCTGATCGATATTCCAGGAGGGCCTTATTGACAAGTTAATAATTAATAACTTATTCATGATTGCTCAAACAGCAGCCAAACCTGAATCTCTGTATCTCTGTGGAGTGTTCCCCTTGAGCCAGCAACGCCAGAACAAGCAGTGCTTTTCTCCCTCCCATGGTCAACTGCTCTCAGGTTTGTCTTGCAAACTGAACACAGTGAAATGTAGCAAAAACTTCTCCTTTGCCCATCCCCTCTTCCTCATGTCATCCTTACTTTTCTCCACCCCTAACCTGCCCAAATGTTTTCTACTGAAAAGGTTAAAAGATTAAAATAATTTAAAATTTGAAGTTACAGTTGTAAAGCAGCCCTTTGGCTTCCATAAGATGGGAAATATTCCTATCCCTCCAGAAATCATGAAAGATGAGCAGCAATTGTTACCTAGTTCTCAGCAAGTGCAAGTTACCAGACCAGAAAAGTAAATCACAATTCTTTCTTGCTAAGTGGTTGTCTCCCACACAAGAGGATCACTTAGAGTTCACTGACATAACTTATGTACATTGCTTTTCCAGTTCTTTTTTCTCAATTCAGGAAAATCTTTTTGTTCCATCACAGACATACTGATCTCACCTACATGAGCAAGTATGAGAATCACAAATTGTAGTCTCATGTAAACTGCTTCTAATCACTCTCACACTAATTAGCATGCCATTAACTTAATCAGAAACACTCCAGTCTAAGGTGAAGCACCAAAGAAGGCCAGCTTCCTTATTACACTGGGTTTTTACAAAACCCAGAGGATTTCACCTCTGCTTAGACTGAATCAAACACAACACAACTTTCCACTCTGCAAAAAAAGCCAAATGAGAAAACTTACAGGCATGAGTACAGCAGAAGATCCTGGCATGGTGGGGTTGGGCAGGGTGCCGGGCATAGAGGCAGGCATAGGCTGTCTTTGTCGGTTGTGTAGGTGCAGTAGTGAAGACAGAGAACCTGGGACAGGCCTAGAAGAAAGGAAAAGAAAAGAAAGCTGTCATGGGCTGTGGAGACCAAAACAAGCCTTACCCTGCCAGCCATTGGTAGGCACAGGCAGCTCCAGACAAGCAGGCACAGATAAACCAATCCAGGATTTGTCCTTTCCTGCATAAATCAGTGGAACATAAAGTTTTCAAGAAGAGGATGAATCACCTTCCTTATTCCCTCTATCAGTTAAAGCTCCAGCATAGTTCATCTGATACAACATGAATGTAAACATATCAGCTGGTCTCAGTCTGAGCACCTCTGCACAGCATAGTGGCTAGCAAAAGATGGTACAAAAAAGATTTTCTACAGACTAACCAGAAAAATCTGCTGGCATTATCACACTGCTGTAAGTTTAGCCCTCAGGAACAAAAATATCTAGATAATAGTTTTGCAGACTATGACAGAAAATTAACCACTCTTAAATCAATTTTGAAAATGTATCACATGTAAATAAGCTGCTCTAAAATGAGTATTTCAAATCACTCTTGATAATCTTCCCTGTGAAAATCTACCAAGCCTTTGTTCCAAAACAAGATCACTAATTTTACCATTTAGCACACCACCAGGACACAAAAAATGGGGGAAGTAGAAATAAAATTAGGAAAATTACATTCAGATTAAGCAGTTTATGAAAGCAAAACATATCAACTACAGAAAAGTAGAGTGAATTATTTTGGCAAGCAGGGTTCAAAAGATTTAGAAGGATTTTTTTAAGTGCAGCACAGGGAAAACTGCATGTGAGAAAGCAGACCCACTCACAAAGAATTATAAAATTAATGGATTAAACAATGCTGGGACTACACTTTCAAAAAAGCCTTTAAGAAAGTGACCTTGGGAATTATGTTAGTAGTTTTATGTTGTTTTGGGTTTTTTTTTTAGTTTTGAAGAAAGTGTGAGTTGCTTGAAGTTTCGGGTGAGTGTAATTTACTATCTTTTCAAGTTTTCAAAAACCTTGAAAATAGTTTTCACATACAGTGCCTCAACAAACACTGAGAGTACAAGTAGGTGTGTTAAATTCTCAGAGAAAAGGATGCTTTTCTGTATAGCACATGGTTTGGACTGCTTATTAGGAAGGAGAGTTGCCCCTAAAGGTATGAGATGGACTGGAAAAGAAGGTGCATAATCTGGGAGTTTGAAGAGCCTCTGCAGGAGCTATCATGGCTAAAGTCTAAGATGTTTAGAGCCTCTAAACATCACAGCTGATTCAAAGCCTTGGCAGAAGCATACTTTGCTTCAGTGGTCAATCCACAGCTAGCCATAAAAGCCTCAAAGTTGGGCTGACCTGGTCAGGGGAAGCAGAGCCATAACTCTAGAGGAGCAAGAGGTATCCTGCTTGGTCTGAACTGTGTCACACCAAATGATGGGGTTTTGCCCCTCCAATTGCAAGTGGTACTTGCAACCATGAATACATACAACCCTCCTCTAACTTTAGCTGTCACTTCCAGCTATCAAACATCGTGCAAAAAGCCCAAAGGCTGTGAGCTATGGGATTCGTAGATGTCCAGTTTGGAAGACACCACATCCAGGGTACCAAATTGTAGGTGCCTGTCTGATGGCAAAACCACCTTCTCTGAGACACAAGTCTCCTTCTCTTTTGCCAAGACTTCAAACTACCTTATCCCCTTTTCTTTAAAACTCCCCAGTATTTCCCATCTTTGGACTTGCAGTCCTTCAACACTCATGTCTTCAACCCTGTTTCCCTAGAAACATCTCTATCCCAACAAATGCCACCTCAAAATACTTGCCCTGACAATTCCCTCATAGTAAGACACTCTGCTCCTCCCACCCTCCTGCCCTCAGCTGCCCTCTTTTAGCAGCTGCACACAACTGAACCCATCCTTTTGTCTTGGTTCTCCGTGGAGAGAAAAAGCCTGTGTTTTGAAGGATGTTTTAAAAATCCTCCCAGACACATACAGTACTTATTCAGAAGGGGAAGAAAGAAGCCCAAAAATAACAACAAATGTATCTCAGATACAGACAAGGAGTTCTTCCTATACCTCCCTTGTTATCTGCTGATGGAGGAATGTGATGTACTTACATCTTTATATCACCTTAAAAAAATTCAAGACAACATTTTCCAAATGTGTGGGGTAATCCTGTGAGAGAGTGCAGTAAGTTCTGTGAGGGAACATGACTGAATTTCTGGGATATGCAGCTCTACAGTCAGCTCAGCGCATGGACTGAGCCTGGGGTGCTGCAGAGGTGTCATAAGTGGAATGGATGCAGTGCAGGAAAAATGAGCTCAGAAAATATACTCAAAGTACACAGACCCTGATCCATTCTGCTGTCCACTTAAACTCAGTTGCTCCATGTACCAGCACTCATTCACACACAAGGACTTGACAAATCAATAGGACAGGGTCAAAATAGTGTGAAAAGCAGATTCAGTGTTCTTTTGAAAAGAAAAAAGTGAGGAGATACTAGGTTGAATGTGAGGAGGAAATCTCAGTTTACTTTTTAGAGGCTGTGGTGACCCCTACAAGCAAGGCCCACTTCCCACTGGCCCATACTCAGGAGAACTACTGTCCTGCAGAGCAGATGACAAACTCAAACAGGTCTTCTCCACCTCATGCTTTAAAGCCTGTGCGCCAGATGGAAGGGCTGAGCCCCACTTTGGGGCATTTGAGGGGCAGAACAGAGTGTGCTGCAACCCCAGCTGGGGACATCCATGGGGTTTCCTCCCAGACAGTGGGCAGGAGGAGGGGGCAGGAAAGGAGAAAGCACTGGTGCACTCTCCTGCCTGGCCTGGAATGAGACTCAGGTGTGCACCCACCTGCCCACTCTGCTACCCTCCAAGTCCACCAGCTCAGATGTGTGGGAACTTAGATCTATGGAAGAGAATCTATGGGAACTGCACTGGCCAGAGCTACGCATTCAATAAAAATACCTCTTGAGTTTTCAGTGGGGTCAAAGTAAAACAAGCACCATGAAAAGAGCACCCCCCCCCCCCCCCCAAAAAAGCCCCCCCCCCCCCCCCCCCATTTATTCATTCTGAGAGTGCCCTACATACAGACCCTTTGTACAATTCACCAGTTTCCTAATAAGCTTAGGTGTTAGGCTGTTTGACAGAAACTTATTTTGGCCTGACCTATACAATTTGTGCAAGTGATTCTCAAGGGACTGCATGGTTTGGGTTTTGCTTATACGTTCCAGAGCCAAAGAAATTTTCAAAATTGCTTTAATGAGTTTGGGAATATGGGGCATAGGCAAAAGGGAATTATTGGTATTTATTAAAATGGCAAAGAAGCTTCCTTGCTGTCCCCAGTTTTACCTTTAACACTGCTTCGTTTTAGGGGAAAGCACATACTTTACAATTAGCTAGAGGCGAAAAAAATCTTCAGTTCTTCAGATATTTTTTCTTACTACGCTCCTGCTAGTCTGTTCCCAAATCTGCTTTTTAAAAGAGGTGCAGACCAGTCAGAGAAGACTTACACTTCAAGGTTGAGCCTCTTTGTTGAAAAGCCTGCAGTGCTCCTGCCATTGATAAAAGTGCTACATAATGCACTCTGGATTCCCCCCTCCCATATCAGGGAAACTGATATTGGCCAGTACTCATGGATACCTCGACTGCTCCTACACTGAATACAGGTCGTGGATTTAGCACGTGCTCCTGCACACACTCACTCACAGAGCTCAGAGAACATGTATGGCACAGAACTGTACAGGCTGAGATACTCAATTTGTCTGACATCTCTTCCTCTTCCAAGGACAACACAATCTCTTTTGTTGTTGCTTTCTATCTGGCAGCAAAGAAAGTCAGTGAGAGTTTATAATTGTTATTTTTTGGTCTACATATCAAATCTGCTCCTCTCTGTAAATGCTGAGGATGTACTGCCTGCAGACTGTTAGTCAATATTGCTGACTGGGAGATTTTCATTCCTTGGCATCTGTGTTGCTAAATAAATAGGGCTGTTGGGCAAACAGCCCACAGATAAAGGACATATAAGATAGAGAACTGGCAGATGCTCAACCTCACTGAAAATCTGGCTACTCGTGAAATTTTTCCAAAATTTAGGAATTTTTACTGAGTTCCAGCAGAAGCCTGCTGTTGAGCATGATGGGGTCTCAGCCAGCATTTGTACGCTTTGGGCGTATGTGGCCTGGAGAGTCAGCCTTACAGTGGCTTAGTAAAATACCACACTTTAGCCAAGCTGCTGTAACTGACCATGTTGGCTCTTCTTCCTCTGCATGGTCGTGCTAACACCATGAGTCACTCTTATTAACATTTAAACAGATGGGTGGTACCCTGCTAAGCCATGGTGACTCGATCATGTTCCATCATATGACTCTACCCAATGATTAAAGATAACTCCTCTAATGCAATCACATATCTAGGATATATACTTCAGTGTCTGCCTCCTTGATTAATACCAAATACTCCATCTGATATGATGAAATTGATGCCTGATGACTAAACGCTACATTTGTCTATTAAAAGACTAGGCTTCCCTGAACTTGAAGTCTTCAAGGACAATCTGGGCAGATGACAATTTGTTGCTGAGATCTCATGAGAGTAGATTACTACTGACCTAGACCATTTGGGGCTATGTGCAAAAGGACTGTATTCAAAGTATCACTGCAGAAGGTTTTCTACTATGGTAAAGCACTCCAGGTCAGTGGGTCTTACCATGACCTCTCTTCTGCTCCTTACTCCCCTGCACATAACATTCACGCAAGGTCATCAAGAATACCTACATCACAACCCCGTTTGTTCCACTTCAGCTAGGTCTGGTGTGGAAAATTTTAGCCCAAAGTATAACGAGTTGTACTGGAGTAAAGGAACTCATCTCTTGACTTTCTACAGCCTTCAGACCAAGCCAGCTCACACCAGAGCAGCCCACAGGTGGCTGGTTGTGCTGTGGAAATTTGTCATGTCAGCTCAGCACTGGCTGAGGGATTTCTGTACCACACTGCCATTACACAACACACTTTATCAGACTTCCATCATTTTTATATATATGTATAAACATGAATGTATCTA